AAGCAATCAACATGCATGTGTATAACGGAACTGTAGATTTTCTTATTAAATAAAAAAATGTGCCGGTCCGGTACATGAATAGATCGGTTAGAAATCAAAGTTTTAATTTTAATTAGATTGGAGGGTTGAAAATAGAGAGCACAAAAAAATAGGGGAGAGAGGGTGTTCCACAGGGAATATTTCCTTCTTATGAACTCTACATCTGAAAGGTTTAATACTTTTTTATTTAATTGAAAGAGAGAAAAACAAATGTAAGACAAATTGTGAATGGTCTTTCTTCCTTTCTCCCGTAATAGATAGAAAACTCAAGGTAAACATTCATAGAACCGAGACAAGGGGCAGTGGCAAATATTTCATGTATATATTTTGAACACAAAGAGGATAACCCCGGTACCCTTTGCCAAAAATAATCTTCTTTTTCTTCTATTTGCCAACGGACTTTATGTTATGAATTGTAGTTTCACTTTCCATATTCGGTATTTATTCTAATTTAAGCTCCAGATAGTAAAAATCACGTGATTCAGGAATATAGTATATTGGAGTTAGACTATTTCTTTCTTTTCGGGCGGGGACTCCAAGCAATCAACATGCATGTGTATAACGGAACTGTAGATTTTCTTATTAAATAAAAAAATGTGCCGGTCCGGTACATGAATAGATCGGTTAGAAATCAAAGTTTTAATTTTAATTAGATTGGAGGGTTGAAAATAGAGAGCACAAAAAAATAGGGGAGAGAGGGTGTTCCACAGGGAATATTTCCTTCTTATGAACTCTACATCTGAAAGGTTTAATACTTTTTTATTTAATTGAAAGAGAGAAAAACAAATGTAAGACAAATTGTGAATGGTCTTTCTTCCTTTCTCCCGTAATAGATAGAAAACTCAAGGTAAACATTCATAGAACCGAGACAAGAGGCAGTGGCAAATATTTCATGTATATATTTTGAACACAAAGAGGATAACCCCGGTACCCTTTGCCAAAAATAATCTTCTTTTTCTTCTATTTGCCAACGGACTTTATGTTATGAATTGTAGTTTCACTTTCCATATTCGGTATTTATTCTAATTTAAGCTCCAGATAGTAAAAATCACGTGATTCAGGAATATAGTATATTGGAGTTAGACTATTTCTTTCTTTTCGGGCGGGGACTCCAAGCAATCAACATGCATGTGTATAACGGAACTGTAGATTTTCTTATTAAATAAAAAAATGTGCCGGTCCGGTACATGAATAGATCGGTTAGAAATCAAAGTTTTAATTTTAATTAGATTGGAGGGTTGAAAATAGAGAGCACAAAAAAATAGGGGAGAGAGGGTGTTCCACAGGGAATAGTTCCTTCTTATGAACTCTACATCTGAAAGGTTTAATACTTTTTTATTTAATTGAAAGAGAGAAAAACAAATGTAAGACAAATTGTGAATGGTCTTTCTTCCTTTCTCCCATGCCAAGAAATTGCCTCCGTTGAAATTTTGCAAACATCCCATAGAGCAAATTACATGGATGATTAATTTTGACCATTTGGTATATGGCTGTGTTTTAAGTGAGACGTACACGCGGGTCATAAATTAATTTATTGAATGAAATCAAATCTTTAACTACTAATGGATGCCGTAGGAGGTCGACCGGAATTTTTAGCGAGGATTTCTTGGCATGTAATAGATAGAAAACTCAAGGTAAACATTCATAGAACCGAGACAAGAGGCAGTGGCAAATATTTCATGTATATATTTTGAACACAAAGAGGATAACCCCGGTACCCTTTGCCAAAAATAATCTTCTTTTTCTTCTATTTGCCAACGGACTTTATGTTATGAATTGTAGTTTCACTTTCCATATTCGGTATTTATTCTAATTTAAGCTCCAGATAGTAAAAATCACGTGATTCAGGAATATAGTATATTGGAGTTAGACTATTTCTTTCTTTTCGGGCGGGGACTCCAAGCAATCAACATGCATGTGTATAACGGAACTGTAGATTTTCTTATTAAATAAAAAAATGTGCCGGTCCGGTACATGAATAGATCGGTTAGAAATCAAAGTTTTAATTTTAATTAGATTGGAGGGTTGAAAATAGAGAGCACAAAAAAATAGGGGAGAGAGGGTGTTCCACAGGGAATATTTCCTTCTTATGAACTCTACATCTGAAAGGTTTAATACTTTTTTATTTAATTGAAAGAGAGAAAAACAAATGTAAGACAAATTGTGAATGGTCTTTCTTCCTTTCTCCCATGCCAAGAAATTGCCTCCGTTGAAATTTTGCAAACATCCCATAGAGCAAATTACATGGATGATTAATTTTGACCATTTGGTATATGGCTGTGTTTTAAGTGAGACGTACACGCGGGTCATAAATTAATTTATTGAATGAAATCAAATCTTTAACTACTAATGGATGCCGTAGGAGGTCGACCGGAATTTTTAGCGAGGATTTCTTGGCATGTAATAGATAGAAAACTCAAGGTAAACATTCATAGAACCGAGACAAGAGGCAGTGGCAAATATTTCATGTATATATTTTGAACACAAAGAGGATAACCCCGGTACCCTTTGCCAAAAATAATCTTCTTTTTCTTCTATTTGCCAACGGACTTTATGTTATGAATTGTAGTTTCACTTTCCATATTCGGTATTTATTCTAATTTAAGCTCCAGATAGTAAAAATCACGTGATTCAGGAATATAGTATATTGGAGTTAGACTATTTCTTTCTTTTCGGGCGGGGACTCCAAGCAATCAACATGCATGTGTATAACGGAACTGTAGATTTTCTTATTAAATAAAAAAATGTGCCGGTCCGGTACATGAATAGATCGGTTAGAAATCAAAGTTTTAATTTTAATTAGATTGGAGGGTTGAAAATAGAGAGCACAAAAAAATAGGGGAGAGAGGGTGTTCCACAGGGAATAGTTCCTTCTTATGAACTCTACATCTGAAAGGTTTAATACTTTTTTATTTAATTGAAAGAGAGAAAAACAAATGTAAGACAAATTGTGAATGGTCTTTCTTCCTTTCTCCCATGCCAAGAAATTGCCTCCGTTGAAATTTTGCAAACATCCCATAGAGCAAATTACATGGATGATTAATTTTGACCATTTGGTATATGGCTGTGTTTTAAGTGAGACGTACACGCGGGTCATAAATTAATTTATTGAATGAAATCAAATCTTTAACTACTAATGGATGCCGTAGGAGGTCGACCGGAATTTTTAGCGAGGATTTCTTGGCATGTAATAGATAGAAAACTCAAGGTAAACATTCATAGAACCGAGACAAGAGGCAGTGGCAAATATTTCATGTATATATTTTGAACACAAAGAGGATAACCCCGGTACCCTTTGCCAAAAATAATCTTCTTTTTCTTCTATTTGCCAACGGACTTTATGTTATGAATTGTAGTTTCACTTTCCATATTCGGTATTTATTCTAATTTAAGCTCCAGATAGTAAAAATCACGTGATTCAGGAATATAGTATATTGGAGTTAGACTATTTCTTTCTTTTCGGGCGGGGACTCCAAGCAATCAACATGCATGTGTATAACGGAACTGTAGATTTTCTTATTAAATAAAAAAATGTGCCGGTCCGGTACATGAATAGATCGGTTAGAAATCAAAGTTTTAATTTTAATTAGATTGGAGGGTTGAAAATAGAGAGCACAAAAAAATAGGGGAGAGAGGGTGTTCCACAGGGAATAGTTCCTTCTTATGAACTCTACATCTGAAAGGTTTAATACTTTTTTATTTAATTGAAAGAGAGAAAAACAAATGTAAGACAAATTGTGAATGGTCTTTCTTCCTTTCTCCCATGCCAAGAAATTGCCTCCGTTGAAATTTTGCAAACATCCCATAGAGCAAATTACATGGATGATTAATTTTGACCATTTGGTATATGGCTGTGTTTTAAGTGAGACGTACACGCGGGTCATAAATTAATTTATTGAATGAAATCAAATCTTTAACTACTAATGGATGCCGTAGGAGGTCGACCGGAATTTTTAGCGAGGATTTCTTGGCATGTAATAGATAGAAAACTCAAGGTAAACATTCATAGAACCGAGACAAGAGGCAGTGGCAAATATTTCATGTATATATTTTGAACACAAAGAGGATAACCCCGGTACCCTTTGCCAAAAATAATCTTCTTTTTCTTCTATTTGCCAACGGACTTTATGTTATGAATTGTAGTTTCACTTTCCATATTCGGTATTTATTCTAATTTAAGCTCCAGATAGTAAAAATCACGTGATTCAGGAATATAGTATATTGGAGTTAGACTATTTCTTTCTTTTCGGGCGGGGACTCCAAGCAATCAACATGCATGTGTATAACGGAACTGTAGATTTTCTTATTAAATAAAAAAATGTGCCGGTCCGGTACATGAATAGATCGGTTAGAAATCAAAGTTTTAATTTTAATTAGATTGGAGGGTTGAAAATAGAGAGCACAAAAAAATAGGGGAGAGAGGGTGTTCCACAGGGAATAGTTCCTTCTTATGAACTCTACATCTGAAAGGTTTAATACTTTTTTATTTAATTGAAAGAGAGAAAAACAAATGTAAGACAAATTGTGAATGGTCTTTCTTCCTTTCTCCCATGCCAAGAAATTGCCTCCGTTGAAATTTTGCAAACATCCCATAGAGCAAATTACATGGATGATTAATTTTGACCATTTGGTATATGGCTGTGTTTTAAGTGAGACGTACACGCGGGTCATAAATTAATTTATTGAATGAAATCAAATCTTTAACTACTAATGGATGCCGTAGGAGGTCGACCGGAATTTTTAGCGAGGATTTCTTGGCATGACACCATGTTGCTCGAGTACAGTATAGTTGGTAGAGATATCCGTCGATTGTAGTAGTGTTAAGATTCTCGATTTTGCGAGTTCTTATGCTGCTGTACTAAATTCTACTACAAAGTTTTTACCAGCTTTCATCTCAAAAGTTAAGTGTTGCTGATCTATTTAAAATGGTCTTTTTCATTTCCGGGGACGACACTATGTTATTTAAGTTTCTCGCCACTTTTTCAAAACGAAAGTGGAAGACGATGGGAAAACATCACCGTAGTTGAAGTTCATTTTAAGAAGATGGACAATGCTGAAATACGACAGATAATTTGTGAAAAATGTATTGTGGTAAGAGGTTTCAACAATGAAATTCAATTTCATCAAATACAGAAAAGTTTTCCCGAATCCAGAAGGGTAAACTTGGTGACAAGAACCGCTACACTACCATCCAGGGATAAAGAATGGATTATTCAGTTTCAGTCTGTGACAGGTGGGTTAATCACTTCTAAAACTTGTTTCCTTGTAACTAAACTAAACAGGATCATAAAGATGTCTTAATAAATAGCTTTTCAACAAAAATTATCGACATCCTACTTTTGTTTTGACAGTTTTTAAAGAATAATTTTTAAATATTTCTATATTTTTAGTATGGCAATCAACATATGAAAGAACTGTAAATATATTTTATAATGCAGTTATTTGCTTCTTCTTCATCTACCTGTAGGATAATTTCTAATCTCAAGCATATGGACTTGACTACATGTATTTTATATATAGCCTGTTAATTGTCTAGGTGCATTTAAAAAAAAGTTTGATAGTTAGGGGCATATTTATTTTTTTAAAATGCACGTAGACGATTAACAGGCTATATATCTGACCTGTAGTCAAGTCCCTATGTCTCAGCTCAAGCAATATATATACTTGTCCAAATAATTATGACGTCTTGAAAGGCTAATTTATCTTTTGCTTTGACGCCTTACAGCACTAAGGTGTCAAAGCAAAAAAAAAAACAAAACAAAGGTGTCACAATTATTTGGACATGTATGCTATATACTCCATGTTGCAGCTGCTCATTCAAGAGGTACGTTGTAATGATGGGGGGTACCTTCATGACGAATAACTGTAAAAATCTTGCCAAATGATGTTAACGGTAAGTTTTAGTGCATGTGTAATTTAAAGCAAATTTCTATACGGATGAAATATCATCCTGCAGAAAAAAAATTACAGAAGTTGTTGTTATTTTTTTATCTGGAGGAAAATATTTCACTGTGATATATTATCCATTGCTGTGAAATTCTATCTGGGAAGTTAAAATATTGAATAGTTAATAAAAAAAACTTTGCAAATACTATCGACTAATAAAAGTGTATTTGAATATAAACTAGATTGGTAAATAAAAAACCAAATAAATGTATTATAATGGGAAATAATTTCACAGATTAAAATTGAAATTAATATCCTGAAATATTAAAGTAAATATCATTCTTTTAAAAGACAAGTATCATGAAACAAATGAAACAAAACTAGAAGTAATTTCACAGATCTTAATTGTGAAATAATATCATGATCAATTTAATATGTAAAATAAGGTACTAAGTGAAATACAGGTAAAAGTGAGTTGTTTTCAGATCTCAGTACAAATAAAAAAGTAAAGGTAGAAATATAGTTGCATTACTACAGTAAACAATTTAAACAATAATGGAGGAATCTGAGTATGATAATATTTGTAACTTAGACCCCATTCACACTAGCATTTTTCTTTAATCGATCTAATTTCAATCGATCTAAATAAAACCAGTTAGCGTTCACATTATCTTTAATCATAACGATCTCTATCGGTCTAATCTGAACCAGTGCATTCACATTACAATTGCAATTGATCTGACCTTATTACCCGTAAAACTGTTAACATTGTGTATAAATAGAACTAATTTATCAAATTGATGTGTTAATTGATACACTGATACACACACTTGAAAAAAAAATATTTATTTGCGCACAATGAATGTAAACTTGTGTGTTGTATTTTGGACAGTGATCTTAAAAGATTTTAAAAGAAATTAATTTGACGTGGGAAGACAATTCCACGATACACATCTCAGTGATCAACAGTGTGTGGTTGAACTTGAACTTGACTTCGCTCACAATATCAAATGCTAAAAATAGCTGACATCAATTTTATCCACAGCACGAGATTTTTATTTGGCAGGAAATAATATCACGTACCAGTAAACTCAGGTGACCTCTCTGAACGACCGTTAGAAAGTTCATTCAGGTTTTCAAAGTTGCTTTGTATTAATGATTGACATTTTTGTGCGTTAGTATTGAGGCTCTAGAAGGTCCTTTTAAAATTGATTAACCGGAATCTAAAATAGGTCAAAATATAATCCTTTTCCGAATAAACAAACACACGTCTTCTTTAACTATTTTATTTTTTATGTTTTATCAGTCAAACAGGACGTAGACCTGAACATTAGTTATACGTCCATGGTCAATAATATAAATTTATTGTAGATGAAAACACGATGCATGTCATTAAGTTGGGTGTTGGTAGAGATCCTCTGTGAAAATGTGTAGATCGTTAAAATCCTGTCCACTTATTTTTTCACATATTTTTTTCTTGTAGCATCTCGGTACACGATATAATTTCATTTTAATATTTTTCCTATATATATTTGATTTTTAGTCCCCAACCGACGAAGTTGAAGGGGACTTAAGGTTTGCACTCCGTCCGTCTGTCCCTCTGTCCGCTGTCCATCCGTCAGTTCGGCAAGTCAGCTTTCAACACTTTTTTTCTTCGTTCTTGTATATAGTTTTATCATGACAAGTTATAGATCAAGTTCAAATTTTGTTCTGGTCTGATGATTTAGTCCAGAGTTATGGACCATAACTCTGGACCATATCTAATGTAAGAGTACTATGTTAAACCATATTTCTGTACAAAGGGAGATAACTCATTTTTTAAAAGACATTCTTTGTTAAATTATTTGAAGAATTTTTTGGCAGGTTTGTTTGTTATTTAGTATAAACTAATTTTCTGAATGCTATATATATAAACAAAAAATATGAAGAGAAATCCTTTAATTAGATGATAATCTATTTTTATACGCCCGTTTACGGGACGTATTATGGTATACCGTTCACCGTCTGTCCGTCCGTCTGTCCGTCCGTCCGTCCGTCCGTCGTCAACATGTCGGACATTAACTCAAAAACGCTTTTACCAATATGCATGAAACTTTGGTGAATTGTTTATATCTATTGACGTGAGCTCCCTTTCGTTTTTTATAAATTTCGGATTTACCGTTTCCGAATTTTGGAGTTTTATTCATTAAAAAAGGGGGGATTTTCCAGTTTTCGGACAATAACTCAAAAACAATTTCACCAATTTGCAAGAAACTTTGGTGAATTGTTTAATGCTATCGACATGAACTCCCTTTTGATTTTTATAAATTTTAGACTATAGGTTTCTGATTTATGGGGTTTTATTCATTACAAAAAGGGGGATATCCCTGTTTTCGGACAATAACTCAAAAATGCTTTCAGCATATTTTATGAAACTTTGGTAAATTGTTTAAATCTATTGTTGTAAGCTCCCTTTTGATTTTTATAAATTTTAGATTTTATGTTTCCGAGTTACAAGATTTTATTCATAAAAGAAGGGGTGATTTTCAAGTTTTTGGACAATATCGTTAAAGTGCTTAGAGCAGTTTTCATTAAACTTTGATGACTGATTTATATCTATTAAGATAACCTCCCTTTAGTTTTATAAATTTCTAATATAACATTGAGAAGTTATTGAACTTTATTTGTTTATAGTCTGACAACAGATTTACTAGTATTGCGCAACAGCACAGTGTATTGCACAACAGAAAGAAGTCTTTAATTGAATATAAATTCAATTCATATAACCAATTTCAAGTTCTTTGACTACATTTATTCAGAAACCTATAATATGTCAAATATTTAGTTACAATCCAAATTCAGACCTGTATCAAGCTTGAATATTGTGTCCATTTTTGCCCCAACTGTTCAGGGTTGGACCTCTGCGGGCGTATCCAGCTGCGCTCAGCGAAGCAGTTTTTATTAGTGTATATATTTCAATACATAACATTGTGTAGATAAAAGTTGTTGACATTTTATAGATAATTAAGTTATAAATCTATATTATTTTGTGACAAATGAAAGATAAAAATATTTGGAACTATTAATTATATTTGATTATAATTTGAAAATAGATATACACTGTATTACATCATATCTAATTTTAAAGAACTATTAATCATATCTAATATTTTTTTCATCATGGTAATAAGATATTGATTGATAATTGGTATATAGTTTTATCATGACAATTTAAGTTATAGATCAAGTTCAAATTTTTGTTTCAGTCTAATAATTTTGTGCAGAGGTATGGTCCTTGGACTAGAAAAATTCACTCATATAATCAGTTTTCCACACTGTTTTTAGTCATGCTTGAAGATATTTACATGATATTTACTTTTTGTTTACACCATGACAAGTTATAGAACAAGTTAGCATTTTGTTCCAGTATAATGAATTTTTATCCGGTAGGGGACTATGTATTGCCATGCAATACTCTCAGAATGCTTGTTTTCTATAGTAATTGTTGAAATAATTAATTTTTTTTCATTTCGCCAATGACTTTTAACGAGCAGTAAAATACGGATTGCGCTCATCCAATTTTATTTTAAATAATTAAAGATCAATAACAGAGATAAACGCAAGATTTTTTTCCATATAATTAATTAAGTTGTGATTGTTGTGTTGTGCCGGGGCGGGGAATTTCTCTCAGTGTTTTGTTTTTATGAATAAAGGGCATGCATACAAAACTTATTCCCTTTGTTCAACAGAGTTGTCACTTTACAGTTTTTTTTTGGATTTCAAATAATTCAAGTCGGTCATGTACCGAGGTAGTGAAACATAATATTTTACATTGCAAAATAAATATGCACCGGAAATTGCTTATTAAGTAAGTCATAAAAGATTCTAATTGTGGTAAAATCGTCTTTGTTGAAAGAACACAAAGTATGACCTGACCGGACTATAATAGAAATACAAAATAAGTTTTTTCTTCGTCTTTTTATTCGTTTGTACGTTTTATTTCAAATGACAATGACATAGGGCAAAAACATATAAGTATAATTATTTTATACTGATGATAATGTCACATTCTTATCTGTCAAAGAAAGGAAAACATTTGTTAAAATTTTAATACCGTGTTTTTAAAGCACACAGGTGCAATCAAGATCGATTAGATGTACATAGGTAAATAATCTGGCTAATCCGATTATGTTGTCACACGTCGTTAATTTTTAGGACATCCGATGGGCAATAAACCAATCAACAGCCACCCGGTGTTGGGAGAGAATCTTTGGAGGAAATTGGGAGTATAATCCGCGGTACGCAGTGTGACTCCGAAAAACACGAAAATCGGAAAAAAACTATCTCGAATCAATCCGTTTAAATGGTACTATATTATAGGAACAAACACAATTTCAACAGCTGGATAGTATTTACCTGTAAAATATTTTCTGTCTTATTAAATCATGTTTTAAGTCATCTTTTTATATAAATTAATATTAAAGAAAGAAGAAAGGAAAAATTTCACTATGATCATGATGATAGATTCCGGAATATAATATCTGTAAAATATAAATTGTTCATAATTACCTCCCTTTGATTGATAAATTATGCAAATATGTTCTACCTTGGTGAAACATTTATAATTATGGTCAGGTATATATTGATTGTGAGTACCTTACATAGTAGACAATGGGACTCTATTTCACAACGTTCTGTGAAATATGGAACGGAAAATATATACTGGGAAATACTATCCGCATAAGACAGATAGAATTTTACTTCTATGGATAAAATCTACTTGTGAAATACCATGTCTGGAAAAGAATTTACTCCTATGGATAAAATCTACTTGTGAAATACCATGTCTGGAAAAAAATTACTGTGACTAAATTATCCCCAGGATAAAATATCACAGAGGAAGAAATAAGCCGTTACACATGATGATAAAATGTACACCTTCATTTAGATGATAAGAAAAATCTACTGACGAATCACGTTAATTTTCCCCCCAAAATAGCGATAACGATAATCTTGATAATTATAATAGACCTCTGATAAATCAGCATAAGGATATTTTATTTCCCATTGAAACATTAAATATATTTCCCATTGAAACATTAAATATATAGGAAAATTGTAAATTGTTAGAACTCTCATGTCATTGCATGTGTACAATTCTTGCCAGAATTTAAGAAACTTAAATCATAGCTTTATCATGTTTATATTAGCAATTTTTTCGACAAGTTTGAAAATCAGTGCCAATCGTAAGAGAATTTTTTTTAAAGAGTTATGCCCCTTGGAAACATTAATTATATGGGAAATTACATTGCTAGCTCTCTCATCATGCTCATTTATACAGTTCTTGCCAAAATTTAATGAAATTATATTGTTAGCACTCTCATGTATAGAATTCTTGCCAGAGTTTTAGGAAACTTAAATCATAGCTTTATATAAGCAATTTCTTTGACAAGTTCGAAAATCTGTGATTATCAATAAATTCTAAACATGCTAAAAGAGTTTTGCCCCTTGGGAACATTGATTAAATGGAAAATTATGTTATGAGCGCCCTTATGTGTACAACATACCTATCAACTGACCCGGATCCTGCGGGTGTGACCCGAGATTTTCACAATTCTGAGGGGTCACCCATGACACCCGCCGGGTGTCCAAATAACCCGGGAATTCCGAAAATGACCCGCTTTCACCCGGATTCCTAAGCCTTCAGACTGATTTCATAAGTGATTGTCATTTGAAATACCGGCAAATTCGTAATTCTCCCTGGACATGAAGTTCAACTGACTGTGTAAACTCAAATTAAGTGACCCATTTCAGTGCATGGTTTCACTTGACAGCTTTGGTGTCCAACACACTTAATTAACACCAATTACCTTAGCTTTAGGTCGTAAATAATTTGTGTATTTCAAAGTTGTTTTAAAAACAATTTGAGTTACTTCCACTTTTTGTCACTGTTCACAAAATACTCCTTAAATGTATGTTTTTTTTTTGTAAAAAGATTAAATCTAAAATGAATTGAATGCAAAAACATATCAGAATAACACTTTTACTTATTTTTCTACTTTAAACATGTTAAAACAATTAAAAAATAAAAATTTTGAAAATTACTTTTTTCATCTATACTTCCTTTAAATGTTTAACTTTATTTTATTATAATCTAATTACCGACCGTGGAAGGGCTGTATAGCCAGTCAAGGTTGTTTAAAACTTCCATATATTATAATCTAATTTCAACATATCAAGTCACTTGATGTTTAAAAGTTGCACAATTGTATGTAAAGAACAAACAAATTGGCACATTGTATGTCATGGAATGAATATGAATAGGAATTAAGGCAGTGTAATACAAATCTATCAATGACCTTGAAGCGCAATGAAATAATATGTACAGTTTTAAATTACTTAACCATGTGAACATGTTTTGGAAACTGTTTGATATAAATTATAAGAAAATGTCCCCTAAATCCTGAAATTCAGCTCGAAAAAGTTTGTACGCGTTATGACCTGAGATTTCATTCTTCAATGCAGGAGATGACCTGCATTTTCATTGTCATAGGTTGACAGGTATGGTACTATTCTTGCCAGATTTTTATAAAATTTATATAATATATGTTTATTATCATCAATATCTTTTACAAATTCAAAAATCAGTGCTGATTAATCATTTGTGAAAGAGTTATGCCCTTTGAAATATTGATTATAAGAAAAACTGCATTGTCAGTGTTCTCATGTGTCATTTATCATGTTTATTGCCAGAGTTTTATGAAACTTATATCATAGGTTTATATCAGCAATGTCTTTGACACTTTCGAAAAATTAGTGCTGATCAAATATTTTTAAAGAGTTATAATTTCCTTGGAAATATTAATTATAATGGAAATCATATTGCATTTGCTCTGAAGCCTTCATTTCTCATAGATATATTCGGATGACATGATTAATTTTTTTGACATGATATATTTGTAAACCTTCATAGATGGTTATTATACTTGGACAGAAGCTACATAATCTTTGAGAACAAGAAATAGCATTTGAAATTCAGATTTATTTTTAAATTCTGTAATTTACTGACAAATGAACTCACTTTTTATGTCAATTAACATTACACTTTTACACTGACAACAGCAATCCCAGGAAAGACACAGGGTTCCTCAGACTGCCCTTACACATTTTTTACTTCATAAAATATTACAAAATTGTACTAAAACTTAGATTGCAATTAATACCCTCAGTAAAATTTGAACTAATTGTTATGCGGTTTATTGTTTTGCTTCTCACAATTAAACTGTTAAAATATTAGGATTCCCTAAACTTTTGGTCCTTAGCATACCTAATTAAGGTTATCAGTAAACACTTCACAGAAACACTGATATTGGTATTAAACATCTAATTTTAATATTTCAATTATAAATGATAGTCACCCAGTTCAGAAAATAAGAGGGAAGTTTCTCAGAGAAAAAATCTTATTGATTGTCCCTGCTTCCTTCAGTTGAAAGGTCATAGATAATCTGTTTATTGGTAATTTCCTGAGTAACTTCAATGATGTTAATTTATGACTTCATTGTATTCTCACACTACTTAAAAAACAATTCTCTCAGTCCAGTAAGGTAAGAAAGAAAACTATCACACAGTAAGAAAGGTCAAAGCAATTTAATTTTAAGAAAATAGTTATGATAAATATGAATATTAAACTATCAAAAAGTGAAAGTTATAACTGACTGAATATCTGCTTCGATGACTTAAATTATAGAGGAAATTAGAAACAACAAGAGATTTTGATGAATCAAAAAAATACTGTTTGTATTATAACATATATTATTCAAGATTGATGGTAACATATACCTGAGTAAGAACAGAGAGGCAAAAAGGCTAGAAATATTACGGTATATAGCTCTGCGAATTTGTTAAAGTTATTGTAAGGGTTTCATAAATCAAGTGAGTTGTAAGAATATCTCTAAATAACCTGATGTAGTCATTCTCAAATAGAAATTTTATTAGAAAGGCAGTGTTCATTTATTTTTTCAACGTAGATTCATGGCAAATTGGTTGATTTGAAATGTTCTTCCAATAGACAACTTTCGAGTTCGTTGCATTTCTGTCAAAAACTTTGGTTATAGTGAACATCGTTTGTGCGTTTAGGGGCGTCGTCACTTCTGTTCCTATGTTGAGCGATTGGTTGAAAAAATGATAATGCTATATTGCACGAATTATTCGGCAAATTAAAGTCTTATAATTGATAATCAGCACTGCTGTCATTAGGGAATTGTGATTAAGTACTTACAGAACAAATATTATTTCTAGTTTATCCTGCATAATGACGATCACAAAGATGCTTGATGAACTTTATAGAGCAGGGATACACTCATCATACAGGCGATCCCCTCTATCTGGTAAATGACGTCACAAATGCCACAAAATTGACGAACTTTTCCGGTGAAGGACATAACTCGAAAGTGGTCTATTGGTAGCTCAGTTCACAAGTAGTGATAAGTTGATTGTATATAGAAATGCAGTTTTCTTTAATGATATTTGACCCTTAAATGACAGTTCAGTTCACTTTGATCATTACTGATATTTTAGAAAATAATTGCATTAAAAGATTTTATCTATTATTTCCAGATGCTCAGAGATATGTACAAGATGTAAGAATACTAAAATGTCCAGAAGGTCTGTTGGACATCAGTGATTGTAAACTGCCATGTGATATCCCAGATGAATGGCTACAGGTTTGTTATAGATTGCATCCTTTATTGATTTAAAAATTTTAAAATATGACTAATGTTGAATTAAACTTTTGAGCAAAAATGTAAATATATCAAATTTGATTGCCCTATCAGAAATATAATATATCTGTCCAACTTTGAGTGTCAGAACATTGCTTTTGTTGGCGAAAATTTCCAAATTAAATATATTGAGACTATGTAGTAGTGTACTAATATATGAATATAAAGGAGATGTGGTATGAGTGCCAATGAGACAACTCTCCATCCAAGTCACAATTTGTAAAATTAAACCATTATAGGTCAAAGTATGGTCTCCATGACTGAGCTTTGGCTCACACCAAACAGCAAGCTATAAAGGGCCCCAAAAATGATATATTTACACTGAATATAAGTGTGAGCTTCATTTCTCTACTTTTGACCTGCATCTGTCTGTCTGTAGAAAGAAAAGACCTTGGGTATAAAACTTTTATTCGCTTTCATAGAAACCGAATGATAATATATTTGGTCTGCAGCTTGATAATGTTGACATGTGGCAGGTTAGCAATTTGTATAATTCTTTCAAAGACAGGACATATTATGGTATACCAATGTCCATCTTTCTGTCAATCTGTCAACACTTTGTACAATAACTCAAATTCGCTTTAACCAATTCTCATATGACTTTAACACAACATTAGAATTGATGGAAGAAAGCTGCATTTTAAGGAAACTAAGGATTTGCCCCCAAAATGATGCCAGTACAGCTTACATTTTGAATATATACTAAAAGTAAATAATATTAAGGATGAGAAAAAGTATTTGGAAAGTTTAAAGTTTATTTTTCTAACATGTCTAATGTTTTAGGATGAAGTTATTTCTGACAAGTCAACAGGATCACCCAAGCATGTGTCATCAGGGACAATGCAGCCACCACCTTATTCTCCCTCTGATCCATCAGTGCCTCCTTCACAGCATTCCACTAGTGCCCATGGATTTCCACCATATGATCCAAGATTGTATGGACCAAATCCACAAAACTATTACCAGCATCAGTATTATCCACCATATAGAATGCCAATGAATCCCTATCATCATGGAAGTTCTGGTAAAGAACATCTACCAAAGGAACAATACAGACCACAGCATGCTGGACAGTGGGGTCAATATCCAGGATATTACCAACCTGCTCCTTATGGTTCCTATCCAGGCTATGGCTATCCACCTCAATCAAATTTTGATTTTCATCAACCAGTTCAACAGCTTCCTGTTCAGGGAAATCTTAATCAATACACACAAGGAAATGAAAACCGGGGAAATACAACTTATCATTCATCATCATTATCAGAAACTGTACAGAACGAAAATGATGTCCAGTCAGATGGAGAAGAAAACATACCGGTAGATGAAGATAAAATGGAGGGTAATAGTTTATTATGCTAAATTTTATCCACACATTTTTAGTTGTTTCAAAGAGAACAATATAGTTGAGTTTTACTCCTTAAGATACAAATATTTCAATACAAAGATTTCCTTTAGTTTATAATTGCTATATAAATGTCCTTGTTGAAGTTTAATATTGCACAATTGTTATATATGCTTATACTATAAATTTGATTGTATTCAGGTAATTCTGTAGGACATTGGTCTCGGAGGAATATAAACTTTTTGAGGATAAACAGTTATTTTAAGTTTTATAATGGTTGAAAGAAGGTATAAATGCACGGAAAACATATTTACGAAACTAGAACAAAATGAATTGATTCAATATGTAGATGCATGTATTATGGTTTACAGTGGTGGTACATGTCAAGGGTTTTATTTAAGTCATCTTTTTATGTAGATGAACCTGCCCAGACAACAACAAACATGCTTAAAGTGACTAAATTACCATTAGATACCACAGAAGATGGTTTACGATTTTTCTTTGAGAACACCAGAAAGTATGGTGGTGGGGATGTAGATGATGTAGAATATGATGAAGATACGAGGACGGCCATTATTACCTTTGAAGAGGATGAAGGTAGGTTTAAAATGGTTGGAATAATTCATGAGAGATTATTTTGTCAAAGTATTGAATGTTTATTATTACGACAAGATAGGAATTGATATGAAAATGCAATAAGTCCAAAATTGGTGGACATCTGACAGCCACTTTTTGGGTTTGCTTGGGCCGTAAAATGTCAACCTGCACTATTCTCATCACTTGATATCTATTGCCTATCATTAATGGCTGTTAAGGTGGTTTCCGTTCTCTAACCAAATGTTATTAAACTTATACATAATGCTAATTACCACAAAACACAAATTATGCAAGTTTGAATTTGGTGGGCTTCACTTTTACCCTTATAGAGTTATGCCCCTTTACAAATGGACGAATTGCTGAATATTTCATCTCTGTTCTTCAACTTAAGTTTGTCTCAACCAAATGTTATGAAACTTAAATACACAATGCTTATTAACAAATCACAGATCAAGTAAGAATTTGGGTAGTGTCACTTTATAATATGTTATATGCAAGTGGGGGCATCATATGTGTCCCATGGACACATTCGCCATATATTATTTTGTGTTTTTGCTTATTATCTTTAGTTTTAAAACATTGTAGTAATGTCATTCTATTGTTGTACCCGTTCTTTATTTCAGTGATTGGACTATCATTTACCTGTAAAAAACCATTATGTTACCTTTAACTGTCCAATATTTTAAAGAATAGCCCTCCTCTTTCTTAAAAATATTGGACAGCTGAAGGTAGCATAATGGTTTCTTACAGGTAAATGAAAGTCCAATCACTGAAAAAAAAATATCAATTCCGTCAATTTTTTTCTTCATGTGAAAAAAAAAAAAAATACAACCAAAGAACAAATGACAATTACAAAAAACATTTTATTAAAGTCACCTTCCAAAACAATAGTTTTGTCAATCATCACAATGGTTTCTTGAGAAAAAAATATCACTTTCAAATTGATTCTTTAACACTCCCAATACTTATATCACAGCCATTTTTCTCATGTTATGGTGTGTCTCCTTTAGCACTAATTCAATTGGTTGATAATGCTTGTTGTAAGTCTTGTTTTTGTTGCTTTTATGTATTTATTTTTTCAAAAGATTTATATCTTCATCCGTCTTTGGTTATCAAAATTGACCTCTGGTGTTGCTCTTATTCTTCCTTACATCTATTTTAGTTACAATTAAAATGAAAAAAAATAAAGTAATGCTTCTAACGAATGATATATCATGCTGCAAGACAAGGCCCATAAACAACCTTAACCTCACCCTGTGTACAAAGTGCAAATCTAGAACTTGCTTCATGAACTTGAGGACTACAATAGTTTTTATAAATTTAGGTTTTTTGTCCTGAACATGCATGAAATATTTGCCACTGGCCGTTAAGCAACCAGCAATCAATGAATCAATAAATTTAGGTTTCGACATTTATTTACAAGTTGTTGTATTTTAAGTTTGATATGATTGCTTGAATATGAATAATGCAACACTTTGCTTATGAACGACAATTAATATGGGAAGCAGAATAAAGGAAGACATTGCGCATGTTATCTGTTAAACAAATCAATTGTGTGTCCGACTTACACTTTGTCGTAGTGACCATTTTATGTTATAAAAGAAAATAAGAAAGAGTTTTTTTGCAAAAGGAAATCGAGAGACAAAATTATGTTTCGGTAACATTAAAAAAAAACCAAGGGACATCAAAACACAAATAAATGAAGGAAAGAGTGACACGACCTTGCAGAAAAAACCCCCAGAAAAAAGGGGGGTATTTAGGTGGTACAGTTTGGGAAAACAACAGTCTCTTGAAAATTCCGATGAACAAAAGAATTTAAAATGATGACACGTTGTTATCTCTTCATTTGTTCATATTTAATTGCAGCCTCAGACCTGTCCAATATTTTACAGAATGGACTGATATCGGCTTATATCCTTTACAGTAAAAACTTATGAAAAACTGTAAATAGCGAAAATTAGCAAGACAATATCTACAAATAAGTAAGGATTGAAGAAATTGCCAGCTGAATCCTTATCTGAGTTAATGCCCTTATATTATAATACTTACTTTGTTTTATGTGTTCGACAAAATCTTTAAAAAGAGAGTAGATAGAGAAAAAACTGAAAAACAAAACATAATCATCAATTATACAAGATCAACAAAAAAAACAAACTTACTTAATCACGAAATATATTTGCTTCTTTGATGTTGAAAATGCAAATAGATCACGGTGAGCGACTCAAGCTGTTTTAAGCCTGAAGTTTACTTGTGTCATCCCTTATAACAGAAATAGTTTAATTCCTCTCAACGACTCAACCCCCTGTTAATTGTTACATGCTTTCACTTTGAATAAGTGCTTATACCCAGCTGATTACCAAATTCATTCTATACATACATGCATGCTTAATGCAAATCAAAAGCTATATAAATATTTTTACCATAATAATTTTTTCCTGAAATTTTAAAAATAAAAGGTGAAAATAGATACCAATATGGCATATCCTTGCAAGTTAAGATATCTAGTTTTTAAGAGCCTCTTTTTCATTTGACATCTGTATTTTTCAGCTGTTGACATAGTATTACAAAAGATACCAATTCTATTCAATAAAAAGGCTGTAGATGTGGAAGCCCACATTGTTGGTGCAGAATCTTCAACAGATATACCTGAAGAAGAACCAGATGACTCTAGTCAAAATACTGGTGAACCAGTCACCATATGCTCAGTAGAGGTGCGTGGAATGAAGGAGAATACAACTCAGGATACCATCATGTATTACTTTGAGTCTAAGAAAGGTGCTAAGGCAGATGTGGAAACTATAGAATTTGTAGAAGACAAGGACATGTATATTGTCACATTTGAAAATGAAGAAGGTAAAACAATAACCTAGTAAATTAAATTATTACTGTATGATTTTATAAGGCATGGATTTGGGCAGAATAATTTAAAAAATATTTCCGGACCACTTTAATTTTATAGGATATCAAATTTGTAATCGCTACAAAACAGGGGTGAAGCTCAAAGATCCACATTTTTCTATCTGTTTTTAAAGTTCACCAAATAAAGTTATATTTTCCTACACTTTACTAATATTGCATAAATAAATTTGTTTCAGTAAGATTCATAAACATACTTTCCTAACAAATGTTGTAATCAATTTAAACCATTTTTCCATTATGTACATCTTACTTGACATTCAAGATGACCTCCAATGATCTTAAGGTTAACAAAAGTTGGTCTGAATTTTATTACATTAACTTGAAGCCTTCAATCCTGGCTACCATTAGTTTAGTTAGAACATAGGGATTAAACTTGCATACAATTTCTATTATTGCTAGAACTGAGACCCAATAGAGCTAATGGTGGATATCAAGCAGTTATATTTATCATTATAATTAATATTATTTATTAATATATAAGGCATTTGAGAAATACTGTTATACAGTCCAGATAAAAGCCTTAATCTTTTATCAATAATAATGATCAGAAACAATAACGTGTAGAAATGTTTTGCTGATAAACATTAAATTTATTATTTCAGCTGTTGAAACAGTCTTGTCAAAGAGTCATATAGTAGATGGTGCCAAATTACAAGTTAAAAGACATGTTCCACTCAAAAGATATCCAAACAAAGCATTAGTTAAAGGTTTTAGCCCAAACACAACCAAAGACGGCATAATAAACTTTCTGGAAGCCAGGACGAAATTTGATGTTGAGGAAGTAGACTATGGTGACGAGGATTCTGGGAAGGCTATTGTTACATTTTGTGAACCAATAGGTTTGTAATATTAACCATTTATATTTTACCATTTATATATATGGACAGTTATCAGGGACATAGAAATAAAGAGATCCGTCTGTCCGTCTTTCTTGACTTGTTAGAGCTTAAATATCATAGATTTATATCAGCATGTCTTGGATGAGTTCGAAAATCAGTGCTGATCAATTTATAAAAAAGTGTTATTCCCCTTGGAAACAATAATTAGGTGGAAAACTGCATTGTAAGCACTCTCATGTGTTCAATAATTGCTAGAATTTTATGAAAGTTTTATCATTGGTTTATATCAGCAATGTTGGACAAGTTTGAAAATCAGTGCCAGTCAATTATTTTTAAAAGAGTTATGCCCCTTGGAAATATTAATTATAGGAAAAAATGCTTTTTAGAGCTCTTATGTTTACAATTCGTGCCAGATATTTATAAAATTTATATTATATGTTTGCACCAACAATGTCTTTGAAAAGTTTAAAAATCAAGGCTGATCAATTCATTTTAAAAGAGTTATGCCCCTTGGAAATATTGATTATATGGAAAATTGTATTGTGAGTGCTCTTAATCTTGCCAGAATTTAATTAAACTTCTGCCATAAGTTATATATATCAGTAATGTCTATGGAAATATTAATTATCATGGAAATCACATTACATTTGCTCTTAAGCCGTTATTTATTTTTCTAAGGTATTAATAACAAGTTATAAAAAATTGAAAAAAATTGATTTTTTTTATTGCCCTTGTACCTTGGATATATAGAATATGTACAATGTGGGTTGGGGGATTTTGGGAATCTATTCTTTGATCGAGATGAAGAAGAGAACTGTTCTTTTGTATTTTTTGGGGCATGTAAGGATTCTGTGTGCAATGAATCACTTCTCTTTCATCCATATATACTACATTTAAAATAAAAAGTTTTCAAGTTATTTTTATCTTCACCACATGGATTGTATTTCTTTCCCCCAGATATTGGAGATATCCAAACAGCATGTAAAAAGAAAGCATTAGATAAAAGCTACCTGACAGTTCACCCTGTGGTTGTGACAAACTGTATTGTAGTCAGAGGATTTAGTGAGAAAACAACAGAAAGTGGATTGGAATATTACTTTGATAATAAACGGAAATCTGGTGTAGAGGGTGTCACTGATGTCAATATGAATAGAGATGACGATTGTTGCGTTATATACTTTGAAAATGCAGAAGGTAGATAAGGCCATATCAAATAATTAAGGACAGTGATGGTCCTTAAAAAACGACTTTTGACAAATACATGAAATAGTCAGAAGAACTATAACCTATAGATAAAAACTGTAATCAGCAAAATGATCAGTCATACAAAGACAACAAAACCAATATGACCTTAACCATTGGATGAGTCACTATAGGAATTGTTGCCCTTAAAACAAAATTTTTACTAATTGTTATAATTTTGCAAATTTTCTTGAAAACTATAATAAATATGTAGAAAATGTTAAGTATTATTAGCTATAAAAGAGCTACCAAAATGCTCATATGTCTGAAACTATTGGATAAGTACTAAAGGAATAATTGCCTTGCTTTAGTATACAAGACAGGTACAAACTGTGCTCTGCAAAAATGATTCCCAATACAAGATTGACTAAACTAAAATATCTGATTGGGATAAAGCTAAAAATGAGTATCAAAATGGCATATCTTTACCAGTTGAGCAATTCAGGCTCTTTAAGAAGCTTTTTGTTGTCTTTTCAATTTTGTGACTTTCTGTCCTGTGACTTTTTGTCTTGTCATGTTCTGGCTGTTTAGTGAACCTATGACTATGTCAATACTCCTGATTTAAAGATAGGACAGATTTTTGAATCAAAGGCATGTAATAAAACTATAGGGATGTTTAAATGACTTGCATAAAGTATAAAAAGTGGTTTTAAGTTTTAGTTGAAACTATTCAGTATTGTCTGAACCCATGGAACACATCATGCTTGTTTCACTTGTTTAGTATAGACATGGGATCCGTTTGTTCTAACAAGTAGATGTTTCCCTTAACACATATTCTAAAAGAGTAGGTTCGATAACACCCTAAAACGGCCCCTATTTCTAGCTACAATTTCAAAATAAGATTTATTGACCAATATCACAATGAATCATAGCTAATACAATGATTAAATAGAAAATATGTCTTTTTGTTGAAAATTTACGTACTTGCGTTCTATTCATGACGTCACAAATAGCTCTCATTTTGATTTTCAACGAAAATTCAATGAAAACACGTGAATTTCCAATGATTTTTTGGACAGGAAACATAGAGCGCATGCATCGACAAAAAAGCATTTTACATATCTGACTTGAACATTTAGTTTGTCGACGCCTGCGCTCTATGTTTCCTAGGCCTTAATTTGTTTGAAATCTGGACGATTTTCGTCAAATTTCTCAAAAATCTCTATTTTTGACCTAATTGGAATGTAAAAATCAACTCTTTAAAACTAAAACTTTGACAAAAAAAGTTCTATTCAACTTTCTCACATGTCTTTTTGTCACTTTAAAACATTTATTATCTTGAAACATTAAACTTAATAATCGGGGCCAAATATGACCCTTACCGAACTTACTCCTTTGAAACAAAGTAGGTAATTTGGAAATCAACCATTTAATATAACTATATAGAATTGATCTTTATTTAATGTAATACTATGGTGCGACGTATGAGACAATTAATTTTGGATGCTTGATTATAATGTTACAGTTTATGTTCATGTATTGTAGATGCCTTGCTTGCCTGTAAAAGATCCCATACCATTGACAACTGTAAACTTAAGGTGCAGGTTTTCTATGATTGTCTTGGTGTACCAGCTGATAATGAAGGACCAAAGTTCAAACCATTGCCATCTTTAGTTATTACTGATATTGACAAATATAAATTAAGTTTTTTGAAAAACTCAGCTCACAAAAAAGAGACACTCGAAAAACAGTTGGAAGATATCTATTCTAAAATAACATGGCCAGCATCACCCCAAGAAAACAAAATAATTGTAGAATGCACTATAACAAAGGAAACGCAAGATTGTCGAAAACTTGCAAAAACATGGGAAAAAGATACTAGAATGCACATTGATTCATTTGTGAATTTGTTGGTTAAGGAGATTCACTCTATACTACAAGAAGCTTGGGGTCCTGTGATGGAAAAACTTCGAGAAATTCACATATCTGATCCTGATGGTGTTACTGTTAATTTGGAGAATCCACCTACTTGTGAAATTATAATAACTGGCCACTCAGTCCCTGTAAAAGAAGTCTCCAATAAAGTTAAAAAAATAATTTATGAAGTGTCCGAAGATCTTGATAGAAAAAAACAAATAGTTCAAGAAGAAGTGAGTCTGAAACGTCACCAGTTGTTCGTTTTGTCATTTTCTCAATTCTCAAACAAGATCAGGCAAGAGTTTGAGCAAATGGAGATAAAGATAGACACAAAAAAGCATGTAATTACATTTACAGGGATATCTGGAAACATTAGCAAAGCCAAGGTTACTATGTATGAAACACTGAGTAACATAGCATCAGCAACAATTGGTAAGAAAACACCAGGCTACATTCAGTTTTTGAAAAGACAGGATGTAAAAAAATCAATAGCAGCAAATCTAAAGAGCAGTAGTCTAATTGGGGTTTGGGAAATCCAGGATAATACCATACTTATGTATTCAATGTCTGATGAAGAAGCCGTAGCTGCAGCAGACATTTTAAAAGACTGTGTGGTGGAGGTCAAAGTCGATGTTGACAATGTACAGAAGTCCATGCTAAGTTCTCAAAAATGGAAGCAACATGTACAGGCAATCCAGAATGAATTTGAGAGAAAATCTGTTGTAACTGAAATTGTCACAAACCAGCAAGGACAGATAACTGTATATTGTAACACACAAGGTGAAGCAGGACTGATTAAAGAAAAAATACAAGATTTTTTTCTTACAAATACAGAAAGGGAGATAACTATTGATTTACCACCTTCTTTGTTGAAATTTCTTCAGGAGGAAATGAAAGATGAAGTAGAAAATCTGGAGAAAGACTTAAGGAAAAGAAACATCATTGTTGCTGTAAAGAGTGATGGTATTCTGGTTAAAGGCAATGCAGAGGGAATAAAGGATGCTGAAGATGAGGTGGAAGCACTAGTACAGAAAATATATAAAACCAAGCATTCTATGAACAAACCAGGTTTACAAGAATTAATGAATAGTAACCAAGGAAAGACAAAACTAAAGCATGTTAGCAAACACGCGGGAGTTGTTATCAGTAGTGATAGTGATGAAGATGAAAGGTCATCAGGTCATATTAGACGTAGGGGAGGTGCTGGTTCAGATGAGAGAGCAGTGTTTTGTGGTGCGGGAGGTCAAGAGGTCATTGTCGTGAAGGGCGATATTACTGGTCTGGATGTGGATGTTATTGTCAATGCAGCTAATAAAGATTTGGCTCACAGTGGCGGTCTTGCCAAGGTGCTGGTTAATAAAGGTAAGTAGCAGCTTTGCCTCTTGTGGAAAAGAAACTATATACTGGCCATAACATTTGATATCACTCCTGCTTATTCTTTAATTTCCAGTATAGTTTATTGTGAAATGTCATTTGTCATGATGTCTGTCATGGCATGGCATATTATGATCATTTCAATTTATGATTTTTTTATTGCTTCATTCATCTTAAAATTTGCCCACCTTTTTCTGGTCTTTGCTTTCATCCATTAATGTGTCTGTCCAGTATCAAATTAAAGTGTTGGTTTAAATAGGTTAAAGCTTTTGTCGAAAGTAGTTTGTGTTCTCATCAACTTGAAACTTAGTACACATGCTTATTATGAACTGAACTGTTTAATATATAAATGTAAATTATGGGTTTGCCAAACAGTGTCCGTTCATTAACATGAAAACACTTTGACGAAATCTTTTCAAATTTAGATATGGTCTTTCCAGTGACTAAATGAAGGTCAAGTTCAAATTTCACGATTTTAGCTTTTCTCATTGTTGAGTTGTAGACCTTTCGGTAGCGAAAAGTGATATTTATTGTACAATTTATTTTTATTAGCTCACCTGGCCCGAACTTCTTCTAGAGAACCACTGAATGGAATGAAACCAAACAGGGCATGAATGTTCCTTATGAGGTGCTGACCAAGTGTTGTTACTTTGAAGCCGATCCATCATCCAAGATGGCCGCCAGCGGGGAACTTAGTTTAACATAGGACCCTATGGGAAATACATACAAATGTCTTCTTTCAGAGAACCACTGAATGGAATGAAACCAAACATGGCATGAATGTTCCTTATGAGGTGCTGACCAAGTGTTGTTACTTTGAAGCCGATCCATCATCCAAGATGGCTGCCAGGGGGGGACTTAGTTTAACATAGGACCCTATAAGAAATACATACAATTGTCTTCTTTTAGAGAACCACTGAATGGAATGAAACCAAACATGGCATGAATGTTCCTTAAGAGGTGCTGACCAAGTGTTGTTACTTTGAAGCCGATCCATCATCAAAGATGGCCGCCAGCGGGGAATTTAGTTTAACATAGGACCCTAAGGGAAATACATACAAATGTCTTCTTTCAGAGAACCACTGTATGGAATGAAACCAAACATGGCATGAATGTTCCTTTTGAGGTGCTGACCAAGTGTTGTTACTTTGAAGCCGATTCATCATCCAAGATGGCTGCCAGCAGGGGACTTAGTTTAACATAGGACCCTATGGGAAATACGTACAAATGTCTTCTTTTAAAGAACCACTGTATGGAATGAAACCAAACATGGCATAAAGGTTCCTTTTGAGGTGCTGACCAAGTGTTGTTACTTTGAAGCAGATCCATCATCCAAGATGGCTGCCAGCAGGGGACTTAGTTTAACAAAGGACCCTATGGGAAATACATACAAATGACTTCTTTTAGAGAACCACTGTATGGAATGAAACCAAACATGGCATGAAGGTTCCTTTTGAGGTGCTGACCAAGTGTTGTTACTTTGAAGCCGTTGTGTAGATAAAGTTGTTGACATTGATAGATAAGTTGCAGATATTAGTTTGTGACAAATGAAAGAAAAAATATTGGGAACTATTTATTATATATATAAAGTTTGATTACACTAAGTGTTTTTAAGATAACAAAGCATGTGGTAATTATCAATCACAAAATTATAATTGGAGTGACAGATTTATTTGAAAATTTTGTGTTTCCTAAGTGTTGTTGATATGAAGTTCTGTAGGACAGTATAAATATAGTTTGAAATTTACTGTTCATTATTAGACATTTTGAAGATAATTACAGATAAGTTTTATAGATTTTTAAAAGACATTGTATTAATGATAAATGATATTTTGGAAAAAAAAATTCTTTTCTTTGGTAAATTGTTTGAAGAATTTTGTGGTAGGTTTGTTTGTTATTCTGTATAAATTAATTTTCTGAATGCTATATATATATTGTTTTACTTGATCCTGTTTGGGGGTCCAGATTTGCAAATATCATTTTCATACAGGAAAATCGGATTAATCCGGTTTGCTGTCACTCTGACAGCCTCTTGTTCTAGTCTAAATTGAGAATTAGAAATTTAAGGATTAAGTTTTTAAAAAGATATTATGCTCAGGCAAAATAAAATGAAAAAATGTTCTTTCCTTACTAAAATGTTACTTCTGGAAAAGATAAGCAAAACCAGCTAGTCTTGTTAGGGGCAAAATCCTGCATTCTAAGCATATTTCCATGATCTCAGGTGAATTGTAAGAAAAGCTAGAAAAAAAATTTTCTGTTTCACAGTCTTATATGATAATGTATCAACTTAAAACGCTTGAAATAATTTACTTTTATAGTCCTGATAGTTGGGTGGAAATGGGCCTTAACCACAACAACTCCTTTATCATTGTAAATTCTCCTTGTTTTTGAAGTGATGCATTTAATTGAAACATTTCTGTACTTGTATAGGTGGAAAAGGGATACAAGATGAATGTGACCAGTATACAAGTAATTATGGGCAGTTATCTGAGGGAAAATGTTTCAGTTCTGGACCTGGAACATTAAAATGTCAAATGATTGTCCATGCTGTAGGACCAGTATGGCAGGGAGGTTCTAATAGAGAGGAAGAACGACTGCATCAATGTGTTGAATCAACATTAGTTGAAACAGAACAAAATCAGCATACCAGTGTTGCAATCCCAGCTCTTTGTACAGGAATCTTTGGTTACCCGGCAAACCAGGCAACCAGGGTGATTGCCCAGACAGTTAATGATTATTTCAGTAGTAATAGGGGAAGCACAGTTCAGAGAGTTTACCTTTGTGATGTCAATGAGAATTCTGTAGACCTGTTTGTGAAGGCTGGGGACAAAGTTTTTGGAAAGAGAACAGATGGAGGAGGAAAAATACCATCTGGTGGTCGTTATTCAGGTAATTTTATGTAATGTTTTAAAAATAAAAGAGGACTCTTAGTTAATCTTCTTCAAAGGAACAAAATGTCATCTTGTGAAAATAACATTTTTGTTTGTTGGATGAAAATTTTGTGACTTTGAAGTTGTATGACAAATCACTGTTTTAGAATCTAAAGGATTGTGGGAAGTTTAATTGCTTGTACACCAAATAATGTTATACCATTGGTCAAATATCCATTATTGAATGTTTAGGTGTACACTTTTGAAAATGTTTTTCATACCATGTAGTCAGCTTTAATAGGCCCTGACATGACAAAATGTGAGACAATTCAGACTACAAAACTAACAGACTGATTTATAACAAGACAATTAGGAAAAAATATATGACAAATATTAACCAAGGACAATCACTGAATTTTAGACTCCTGACTAGGGACAGGCACATGAAGAATGTGTCTGGTAGTGCTCAACCATCAACCTAACCTGGGACAATAGTGTAATAGCACAACATAAGAACAAGCAATACTCAGTTTGAAATGGCCATACTCATCAGATTGGCTTGGAACACTGTCAGTTGATTTTTTATGCCCCCGCCGTGGCGGAGGGGGCATTAAGTTTTACCCTTGTCTGTCTGTACGTACGTACGAACGTACGTAAGTCACATAATTGGTTTCCGTTCTCTAACTTTAGTTTGGCTCAACTATGAAACTTATACACAATGCTTATAACCACAAAACACCGATCAAGTTTCAATTTTGGTGGCGTCACTTCTACCATTCTAGAGTTATGCCCCTTTACAAATGGAAAAATTGCTGAATTTTTGGTTTCCATTCTCTAACTTTAGTTTGCCTCAACCAAATGTTATGAAACTTATACACTATGCTTATTACCACAAAACACAGGTCAAGATTTAATTTTGGTGGCATCACTTTTACCGTTCTAGAGTTATGCCCCTTTACAAATGGAAAAATTGCTGAATTTTTTGTTTCCATTTGCTATCTTTTCTTTGCCTCAACCAAATGTTATGAAACTTATACACAATGCTTATTACCACAAAACACAGATCAAGTTTGAATTTTGGTGGCGTCACTTTTACTGTTCTAGAGTTATGCCCCTTTACAAATGGAAAAATTCCTGAAAAATTTGTTTCTGTTCTCTAACTTTAGTTTGCTGCAACCAAATGTTATGAAACCTTTGCACAATGCTTATTACCACAAAACTCAGATTAAGTACACATTTTGGTAGTGTCACTTTTACAGTTCTTGAGTTATATCCCTTTATAACGTTATATGCAAGCAGGGGGTATCATTTGTGTCCCATGGACACATTCCCCATTTATTGTTCTTTGTTCTAATCTAAATAGTCAAGCCATTTCCAACTGATTTTTATACGACCGCAAACAAATTTTGTGGTTGTATATTGGTATCATGTCGTCGTTGTCGGCCGAAGACAGTTGGTTTTTAGACAATAACTTTAGTATAATTAAATAGAAATCTATGAAATTTAAACACAAGGTTTATAACCACAAAAAGAAGGTTGGGATTGATTATGGGGGTTATGGTCCTAACAGTTTAGGAATTAGGGGCCAAAAAGGGGCCTAAATAAGCATTTTTCTAGTTTCCAGACAATAACTTGTGGAACGGTGTATGGATCTCTCTGAAATTATACCACAAGTTTCCATACCACAAAGGGATGGTTAGGATTTGCTTTGGGGGGGATATGGCTCACACTGTTTAGGAATTAGGGGCAAAAAAGGGGGAAAACATGGGTTTCCTGGTTAATGGACAATTAAGACAATTTAAAAGCAGTGTAAGGGAGGACTCAGGTAATCCAAACACAACGTTTTGATTACCTCCCTTACACTGCTTTTAAATTATGTATAAGGAAAGAAACTCACTTTTTTTTTAAAGAAAATAATTGGGGGTCACAATTTATTTTGCTAAGTCTTTGTATATAGTCTGAAAACAGATTTACTAAGTATTGCACAACAGCACAGTGTATTGCACAACAGCAAGAAATCTTCAATTGAATATAAATTCAAATCATACATTTGGATTCCAGACAATAACTTTAGTCAGAGACATATATACACAGAGATTGGCAACTGTAACAGTGGTCAGCGAAATCCAATTAAAAACATGCATCACACGAGACTTTAACGAGATCGCCATTTTGCATCTGATCATGACAAGTTCACCACCGCTTCGATTTTTATTTTGCATCAAGCTTTTCAAAACAGCATAATGTAAGTATATATTTCAATTTCGTAAATTATTTACCTTGTTTTATTCAGTTTGTAGTAATTGTTAGTTAAAATATTGTGACGATTAACGTTTTATTGTGGTCAATAATAAGGGGAAAGCTTGGCCGACATGGACGTTATGAAATTTTTTTACACGGACGTATTTTTTTATTAAAACCTTTTCATTCGAAAAGGAATAAAACCATTTATGAGATGAATCACTTTCCCCAAGACATACTGGTTTTGTGTAAATATGTTGAATTTTTCATTAAATCACCCACTTTGATGCAATTTACAATTAAAATTCAGTATTCTCGCTGTCGGCCACGTTCAATTTTTAAAATATAAAGACAGGCCCCTGTCCATGTCTACAGTCAATAAACTTTTCCATCTTTAGAGAATAATTATTCCCAGCACATGAATTACTTTCTTATGACATACTGGATTTGTGTATAACAGTTGTTTTTTCCATATTTTCACCAGCTTTGATGCAATTTACAATTAAAAATGACCATTCAAGCTGTCGGCCATTTTCATTCTCTTCAATATAAAGACAGGCCCCTGTCCATGTCTACAGTCAATAAACTTTTCCATCTTTAGAGAATAATTATTCCCAGCACATGAATTACTTTCTTATGATATACTGGATTTGTGTATAAAAGTTGTTTTTTCCATATTTTCACCAGCTTTGATGCAATTTACAATTAAAAATGACCATTCAAGCTGTCGGCCATTTTCATTCTCTTCAATATAAAGACAGGCCCCTGTCCATGTCTACAGTCAATAAACTTTTCCATCTTTAGAGAATAATTATTCCCAGCACATGAATTACTTTCTTATGACATACTGGATTTGTGTATAAAAGTTGTTTTTTCCATATTTTCACCAGCTTTGATGCAATTTACAATTAAAAATGACCATTCAAGCTGTCGGCCGTTTTCATTCTCTTCAATATAAAGACAGGCCCCTGTCCATGTCTACAGTCAATAAACTTTTCCATCTTTAGAGAATAATTATTCCCAGCACATGAATTACTTTCTTATGACATACTGGATTTGTGTATAACAGTTGTTTTTTCCATATTTTCACCAGCTTTGATGCAATTTACAATTAAAAATGACCATTCAAGCTGTCGGCCATTTTCATTCTCTTCAATATAAAGACAGGCACCTGTCCATGGCTACAGTTTATAAAATTGTCCATCTTTAAAGAAAAAATGTACCCATCACCATTGATCACAGGAATTACTTTCCCAAGACATACCGGTTTTGTGTATATAAATTGTTTTTTTCATTATTTCCACCACTTTGATGACATTTACAAGTTTATATACATGTATATTTACATTCAGTATCTGACAGCATTTTTTTTTAACAGGATCCTGCATGTTATAAAAGAACAAAGATGTTGATCAAATTAACCTAACAGTGCAGCATACAAGAGATGTAATATCATACATGTGCTGAATGTAGGACTCCCTAGCCTTTCTGATTGAAAAAAAGATTCCCTGGCAGACAGGAACAACTATTAGTGATGACTTTTTTTCAAATGTTACTGCACAGTCATGTAGTGGACCGATTACATGTACTACTATCAATGTGATACTAAAAATGGTTTTGTAAGAGAGAAAATGACATGTGCTTATCCTGACTGTGAAAACACCACATTATTGTAGTTCAAATATCATAGTTCATATGCCAAACTTGATGTACATGTGTATGCGATTTTTGTGCAAGTGATGGTGACATCATTGAACTAAGAATAAATACAAGACTCCACATTCAATCTATTGAATTTGAAACAGAAGTGGCAGTTGTGCAGAGACTATTTGGATAAAAATGCAAATAAATATCTTGTGTTCAACTTCATTTGTCTTCTTTACGTTTACAAAGTATACATGTACACAATTTTTACATACATGTATAACAATATGATGATGTAGTATGATTGCCAATGAGACAATGATTTACATGTATGACTATCATTGGAAGGCCACTCTACAATATCTTTGTATATCATGAGAATAGAAATGCTACCTTTGTAGCATAAAGGTAGCATAATGTAAAAAAAGGGAAAATGTTCATTTATTCAACAACACTGCTGTGAATATATAACTTGACAGTACTAAAGGCAAAATATTTCGTTTCACAAATTCCTTCCTCTCCTCGGAAAATAACATATTTAATTGTTTACATGAAATGACAAAATGTGTAGAATAAGAAGCAAGAAATGTTCACTCTACTTGTACACTACTAGTCACTCATATTAGTCATCATCTATGTTTGTTTCAGTCCTTTAGCAATGGTGCTTGTTTATATTTATCTGTTGTGTTGTGTTGTTTCAGTTTTACATGTCCTCATTCTGTGATCACTGTTTCACCTCGCCTATTTTGAAAAATGTTAATGCAAATATTTTCTGCAATAAATTGAAAAGGCACAGCTGCTATGACTATTCAGAAATGTGAGGTATATGTCAATGAGACAACAACCCAACGACAAAAATATTCTTTGCACATCTATGAATGTTTAAGAATTCTTGTGGAGGTCAAAAGCACATAACGTGTGCTTATATATTGGTGACCTGGTACATGTATGTACCTATTGATGCATTCCGTCCTAAACATAAATTGTGTGAAGAGACCAAGCAGTTTATATGCTTATAAAAAAACTGATATTAAAATGAATTCCTGTATAACAAATTCCGGGAATGAGACACTATTTTATTTAAACCAGATGAGATATTAGTGGTAAAGGTTTAAACAGAAGCAGGAGATGTCA